AAAAGAAAAAAAAACAACTTGTATCTTTGTGAGTATGCATACCCATGTCTGATTATATGCAGAGTGTGTATTCAGGTTCATGTACCTCTGCAAATGAAGGCCAGAAGAGGGAATTGGTTGCCTTCTCTGTTACTCTTTGTTTCTTTGAAGAAGAGTCTGTCCCTGAACCTGGGACAACTTGAATGTTGTCAGCTAGGCTGGAAGCTAGCAATCCCCAGCTGTCCCCCTTGGAGCTGGGGTTCCAGCGCGTACCAGGACACTGGGCTTATTACATGGGTGCTGGGGTCCAGATCTGGTCCTAGGATTGGGAAGTAAGACCCCTTAAATGCTGAGCCAGCTCTCCAGCCCTGGTGCTAGAACTGTACCACCACACCCAGGTTAAGAGAAGTACAAGGGTTTTGTTTTCATTTTCTTAAGTGATTTTGTCTGTGTGTGCAGCACATTGTGCGTGCCTGGTGCCTGCAGAGGCCAAAAATAGGGCACTGGATGCCATGTAAGGCACCAAGGGGTTGCTGGGGTTGGAGCTCAGGTCCTCTGAAGAGCAGCCAGTGCTCTTCCCTGCAGAGCATCTCTCCAGCCCGGACGTTGTTCTGCTTTGTGCTGTTCATGTACCGGTTGTTCTGTGGGTTGTTCCGTCTCTAGGTCTCCACTTTTTTTTTTTTTTAGATTTATTTATTTATTTTGTATACAGCATGTATGCCTGCAAGCCAGATGAGGGCACCAGATCTCATTACAGGTGGTTGTGAGCCACCATGTGTTGCTGGGAATTGAACTCAGGACCTCTGGAAGAGCAGTCAGTGCTCTTAACCTCTGAGCCATCTCTCCAGCCCCCATCCACTTTTTTTTAATGTAAGGTCTCATATATTCCTTATGGCCAGAAGAATCAAAGCTGGCCTCACCTGGTATGTAGCCAAGGACGACCTCAAACAACTTTTTTTCCTGAGAATTTTGTGTTGTCACAAATTACATCTTTATACATTATGTGCTCTTTTCTACATTAAGTCCCAGTGTACTGAGACGCTTTCTTTTGTTTGTTTGTTTGGTTTTGGTTTTTTGTTGTTACTGTTTTTGAGTTTTAGTTTTGATTTTTTGAGACAGGGTTCCTCTGTATATCCATGGCTATCCTGGAATTCTCTCTATAGACGAGGCTAGCCTTGAACTTACAGAACTCTGCCTACCTCTGCCTCCCCAGCTCTGGGATTAAAGGTGTGCGCCACAAACACCCAGCAAGTTTCTTTTTTTTTAATTATTTGAATAATTTTTTAAAATATGTAATTACATCATATTTCCCTTCATGTGCACCTCAAATTCATTGCTTCTTTTTCTTTAATTATTGTTACATAGATATATATTCCTAATTATATAACTACAACCTGTTCAGTTCATATAATGTTACTTGTACGTGTATGATTTCAAGGCTGACCACTTGGTATTCTGTAACAAATTGGGGGGCTTTTCCCTTGGGAAGATTGTCTCTCACTCTCAGGATTCCTTGGTTGCCTGTAGTTGTTTGTCTGGAGGCCCTGTGAGATTTTCCCCCTTCCATGTTAACACGTCAGTTGGTGTCTCCTTTGCTTGGGTCTTGTTTAGGCAGCTGTGTTAATGCGACTTAATGGGTAAAGCTGGCCCATGTGACACCCTCTCTGACATTGCTAGAAGATGAAATCTCATAGAGAGGACTGGAGAGATGGCTCAGTGGTTAGGAGTAGTGGCTGCTCTTCCAGAGGCCCTGAGTTCAGTTCCCAGCACCCACATGGTGGCTCACAACCATTGGTAATGGGATGGGGTGCCCTCTTTTGGTGTGCATGAAGACAGAGCACCCATAGACATAAAATACAGGAGTAAATAAATCTTTAAAAAGAAAAGAAATCGCCAGGTGGTAGTTTCTTTTGGGGCACTTGGGAGACAGAGGCAGGCAGATCTTTTGCCTGGTCTACAGAATGAGATCCAGGAAAGGCGCAAAGCTACACAGAGAAACCCTGTCTCAAAAAATAAAAATAAAAGAAAGGAAGAAAGAAAGAAAAGAAATCTAGTGTGAACTTCCTTTTCCTCTGGCTCTTACAATCTTTCTGTCCCTCTTCCAACATGATCCCCGAGCCTCGGGTTCAGGAGTTGTGTTATAGATCAGTCAGTTGGAGGCAGCCACCACACAGTCACTTGTTCTCTGCATTTTGGTCAGTTATGGTTTGCTGTAATGGTCTCAGTGCAGCTAGATCCTGGTGACGGATGTACAGGATCTGTCTGGGCGAAGAGGTGGGATTGACCTTGAGCTACTGATCTCCTGCCATTGCCTCCTGAGGCTAAGTGTAGGCCTGTACCACCATGCACAGTGAGTGTATAAGCTGCTGCTTGTATACCAGGCAGGCATGCTTAATAACTGAGCTACATCTCCAGCTCCTCATTCACTTATTTTACAAATATAAATGCATAGGGCAATGTCAAGTACAGTTTTTTTGTTTGTTTGTTTTGTTTTGTTTGTTTTTTTTTTTTTTTGGTTTTTCGAGACAGGGTTTCTCTGTGTAGCTTTGCGCCTTTCCTGGAACTCACTTTGGAGACCAGGCTGGCCTCGAACTCATAGAGCAAGTACAGTTTTAAATAATGGAAAAATCAAGACTGACCTTACAACTGGGCCATTGCCTTATAGAGGCTTATTCTCATAAAAGACACGAAGAAGTAAACCTGGCTGGAAGTGAAGCTCTTTACCCTCTTCTGGCCTCTGGACACCCACACACATCAATCAAAACAACCCATTTTTTAAAAATTAGACCTGGCTGTGGAAAGACACACACTTTGAATCCTAGCAGGGGTAGGTTGATCTCTTATGAGTTCAAGACCATCCTGGTCTATATATCAAGATCCATGCCAGCCAAGGCTATCTAGTGAGACCTTATCTGAAAAATAAATAAATAAATGAGTAAATAAATAATAAAATGTGCCAAATTGGGCCAGCCAGCATGACAGCTGAGTGGATAGAGATGCTTGCCACCAAATCTGAGAACCTTTAGTCAACGCTTGAGTCCCACATGTTGGAAGAAGAAAAGATTTCCAAAAGTTAGCCTGTGATCTCCACAAGCATGCCATGGCACATGCACACCATGGAACATATACATGTATACATAAACACCCATAAATGTAAAAAGTAAAATGTGCCAAAGTGTTTGGCGGAGTGTGTCACACTGTTAATGTTCCCAGAGAGAAAGGAAGACACTACCTGATAACCACAGCATACAAGCAGTTCAGTAATTGATGAGGCTGCAAAGTTTCTAGACATGCTAAAAGTATTCATGTCGTGCTGAAAGATAGAAGTCAGTGGTCCCTTGATCAGATCTGAATTGGATAATTAATTGTGGGCTAGTAAAGGCACAGAGCAGTATGGTGGGATGGTACGATTGGCCGAGGCAGGTCTATTTATGATAGGATGTGGCCCTCTCCTTTCCTTAGCTTCACTGTTTACTCCAAGGCCTTCAGCTAAATGCTACCTTGTGTCTTTCATGATCTACATTTCTTGTCCCTCTCCAGGTGCTGACTCCCCGATAGAGCAGGTCCGTGTGCTGGGTCTGCTACATGAAGAGCTGCATGGTCCCGGCCCCATGGGAGCGCTGAGCACCCTTGCTCACACAGAGGTGACTCTGAGTGGTAAAATGGGCCAGACTTCAGCCTCCATCCTCTGTCGAAGGCCCCAACAACGTGCAACTTACCAGGTCAGGAAAGACAACAGAGAAGACTGGATTAGGATCAGAGAAGGGCCAATGTTTCAGCCAGAGTTTCTATTGCTGTGATGAAACACCATGACCAAAAGCAAGTTGGGGGAGAAAGGGTTTTTTTGGCTCACACTTCCATGTTGTAGTCCATCACTGAAGGAAGTCAAGCAAGGAACTCAAAACAGGGCAGAGAACCTGGAGGCAGGAGCTGATGCAGAGACCATGGAGGGGTGCTGCTGACTGGCTTACTCCTCATGACTTGTTCAGTCTGCTTTCAACACCCAGGACCACCAGCCCACGAGGGACCCCACCTACACAAGGGATCCCCACCCACAGTGAGCTGGGCCCTCTCGCATCAATCAGTAATTAAGAAAATACCCTACAGCTGGATCAGACAGAGGAATTTTCTCAATGGAAGTTTTTTTTGTTTTGTTTTGTTTTTTGCTTATAAACTGTATGGCCATGGCAGGCTTCTTATCTAGTTCTTTTATCTTAAATCAACCCATTTCTATTAATCTATAAGTTGCCACATGGCTCGTGGCTTACCAGTATCTTACATGTTGGTACTCATGGCAGCGGCTGCCTCCTTTCACTTCCCAGCATTCTCTTCTCTTGCTTGTCCCACCTATACTTCCTGCCTGGCTACTGGCCAATCAGCATTTTATTTATACACAGCAATATCCACAGCACTTCCCCTTTTCTTTTTTTTCAAAAAGGAAGGTTTTAACTTTCACATAGTAAAATTACATATAACAAAACAATTATCAAGCAAGAATTACAGTTACAATATCTAGTCTATTTATAATAACTAGTCTATTTGTACTTGGCAGAATTAAAGAAGATATCCTATTCTATATTTGTGAGTCTAAGGTTTCATATCTAACTTATCTTTTATCATAACTAAGGAAAATTATAACTATCTAGTCTTCAACTACATCAAAGACCCCAGAAGGATATGCTATTACCTGAGAAATGGGAGAAGGATGCAAGCAACTTTTGGGAGTCTTGCAGGGTAGACAGAGACAGCTGGCAGCCTGGACAGTCACCTAATGTTCCTTTGTAAAGTTGGGGCATCTGTCTTCAGCCCACAGGCCTAGAGTCTCTCAGTCATTTCTCTCTGTGTCCTGTAGAATGTCTGGCAATTTCCTCTGCGAAGCAGGAACCTGAAGGACCATTTCGCCAAGCAAAGTTCAGTGGTCACCTTCCTATGGGTCCTGCATGTCCAGTTGATCAAGCAGTCCAGGCAAGAACAGTTTCTTGCCCAAATGGCTGTTTTTGCCAAGAAGAAGATAAACTCCATATAGAGTGTCTTCGATGCCCATCCTCCTCTCTAAAGTAAATTGGTGCTGCCAGGAGCAGACATGTCTCACTGTCCAGAAAGTCTAAATTTTTAAAAATATTTTAAATGCCATATTCTGTAGGTCTTTGAAGCGTTTGAAGATTACCTGTCTATATGAAATATATCTGTGTATACCTAGAAAACTTAACTAACATGTTACAAGTTTGACTATCATAGAAGATCTGTATTTAATTATCCATTACAATCTAAATGAGTTACATAAACATAATATCTCAAAGGAGAATAGAAATATATATTCAGTATAACAAAATTAACTTTAAATTTGTATCAATGAACTAAAATCTGTACCAGTGTAAAACATTTTAAACAAGTTGCTCTTTAAAAGTAGGTTCATTGATCTCTTCTTTTATCCTATCATATCTATACTATCCCCTTTTTTTTTCTTGAGCTTCTCTCAAGTTGACATAAAACTAGCCAGGACAGGGGGCATGATGGGAAGAGCAATACAAACTGATGTTCACTTACAAGGTAGAGGAAGGAGAAGCAGGAGTTCCAGCGTACCTAGTAAGCTCAAGGACAGCCTGGTCTATGTGATACCTGAGACTGTCTCAGGAGAAGCAAGGAAAGCTGATTACTCACTTAATTAATTAATGACTAATTACTTGTGTGTTGTTAATTTGTTTGGGGCAGGGTCTCACTGTGTAGCCCTGACTAGCCTAGAACTGACTTTTTTAAGACTTTGAACCTACAGAGATCCACCTGCCTCTGTCTCCCAAGTTCTAAGGTTAAAGACATGTACCACCAGGGCTGGAGAGACAGTTAAAAGCACTGACTGCTCTTCCAGAGGTCCTGAGTTCAATTCCCAGCAACCACATGGTGGCTCACAACCATCTGTAATGAGATCTAGTGCCCTCTTCTGGCCCACAGGGATGCATGCAGGCAGAATACTGTATCACAAGAAATAATCTTTTTTTTTTTTTTTTTTTTTTTTTTTTTTGGAGCTGAGGATCGAACCCAGGGCCTTGCGCTTAGCACTCTACCACTGAGCTAAATCCCCAACCCAATAAATAAATCTTAAAGAGAAAAAAAAGACATGAAGCACCATGCCAGCCAGCATCCTGTTTATACTTTGTGGTGCTTGGAGGATTGAACCTAGATCCTTAAACGTGCTCAGCACACACACAGTCATTGAGCTGCATTCCCCTGTGTTTTCCGTCATTTTTCTTGTTCAGTTCTCAGATACCCTGTGAAGTAAGTGTTTTGTGTTGTTGTTTTTTTGTTTGTTTGTTTTTGTTTTTGTTTACAGCTGAGGATTGAACCCAGGGCCTTTCGCTTGCTAAGCAAGCGCTCTACCATTGAGCTAAATCCCCAACCCCAAAGTAATTGTTTTATCTTTGTTTTTCAGACTGGAAAATAAAATCCAGAGATGTTAAAATTTAAGTCACTTGCCTAAGTTATTACACCAAGTGAAATACCCAGGATTTGAACTCAGGGTTGCTCAACTCAAGAGCCCATAAACTAGCCAGCCATGGGCGGCACACACCTTTAATCCCAGCACTTGGGAGGCAGAAGCAGCCACACCTGAGTTTGAGCCTCACCTGATCTACATAGTGAGTTCCAAGACAACCAGGGCTAGAGAGATCCTATCTCCAAAAAATTAAAGACCCCGTTAACTTAACCAATTAAGGATGCTATCTTACAGCAAATAAATGAGGGAATATGTTTTTCTTCCCTAGACTTGGTGGTTCTCCATTCTTCCTGACTTCAGCCTGGATCTCCGGGAGCGGCTTCCCCTCCATTCTGAGCTACACCCAGATCCTCACACAACCCAGGTATCCAAAAGTAGCCAGAACAAGGGTGTGAGCCTAGAGTCTGGCAAGGGGAAAAGTAAGGCTGAGATAGCCAGGCAGTGGCAGTGCACACTTCTGACACCCTCACAGGCAAAACACCAATGAACATAAAGTAAAAATTATAAAGAAAAGAAAAGCCAGACGGTAGAGACAGGCAGATCCAGGACAGCCAGGGCTGCACAAAGAAACTCTGTCTCAGAAGGGAAAAAAAAAAAAAAAAACTAGAGATGTTGGGGGTCTGGGGTGGAAAAGTAGAACTGATCAGCAACAGCACTTGTTGTACCTACAGGTGGATCCCACGACTCATTTGACCTTTAACCTTCACTTATCCAAGAAAGAAAGAGAAGCCAGAGACAGCCTCACTCTGCCTTTCCAGTTCAGCTCTGAAAAGTAAGGCTGGGCTGGGATCTCAGCATCTGGGTCACAGAAAGGTGGGGTGATGACAGGTTATTGATTAACCTCAAGATTTTATAGGGGCTGAAGTCCACCTCCAGAGACAAGTCTAGGGAGTGGTTCCCTACCCACCTATACAGGATTCCCACAATGATAGAGGACCTTTCTGTGCTTCTCTCCAGTAGAGCTAGGGGCCCCCACCTGAGCCGGACCAGACGGGAGACAGCCCTTCCCAGGCCCCAGTCCCCAGTCCCAAAGCTAACATGGGTGTGGCAAGCGCTGATTGACAGGGCTCAGGAGCTGCTCCTGCTCTGTGCCTGGTGTGGGTGGATGGAGAGCAGGGCTGAGGAATCCTTGCCTTCCGGCTGCTCAGGACTTGGGGCACAAGACAGTTCCCATCGCAGGGCCGAGTGGTACTTGAGCTCTCGAGAGCCTTGGAACTTAGACCGAGAAAGTGACAGAGACATGGGATGGGTCACCTAAGTGAGTATCACTGTCGCCTAGAAGGAACTCTCCAGACCTGACTCATCACCCACCCTCATCATCATCACACCTTCCCTCCTCAGACAGCAAGCTCTGCTCCGCCCTGGACCGGGCCAGACAACTAGCCACATCTTCTATGAACCAGATGCTTTTGATGACGTGGACCCAGAAGACCCAGATGATGACCTAGACGTTTGACTAGACAAATGGGAGAGGAAGACTGTGGCTCAGAACCATCCTGTTGTTCACAGAGGCCTTACCTGCTCCCTCCCTCCCTCCCTCCCTCCCTCCCTCCCTCCCTCCCTCCCTCCCTCTGTTGCTCTGTCCGTGGAGGGCCTGTCTGTCCTGTGAGCCATTGAGGAACATATAATTGGGGCAAAGAAGTGTGGTGAGAGCGTAGTGTATGCAAGAGAACAAGAAACCCCCTCCTCCCCTGCCCGTTTCTAATAAAGTAGATACATGTATTCGTATATAAATTGAAAAAGCTCCTTGGTAACCACTTAGAGAGTAGATGTGGGGGGCGGGGCTGGTGATACAGCTCAGCAGGCAAAGGTACTTGCCACAAGCCTGACGCCCTGAGTTCAACCCCTGGAGCCCACAGAAAGGTGGAAGGAAAGACCCCACTCCACAAAGCTGCCCTCTGACCTACTCACATAAACCCATAGAGCCTTTGGCCACACAGGGTAAAGAGTTTAGGAGAATAGGTAATACCCTGAGCCCACAGTCAAGGCATTAGGCCTAACAATGGGACCTGAAGGCCGAGGGGCCCTGCTGGGCGCTCTACTCAGTTCTCCTGCCACTGCAGTGCGAACTCCTGACAGGCAAGGACCTGGGTGTGGAGAAAGGAGCCTTGGAAAGACACCTGATTTCCAAAACTTAATTTTTATTACTGTACAAAAGCACACCCCATGTTTTGTCTTCTCCCAAGCCCTCCCCTCCCCAAGATGCACCCCCCCCCCAACCGTACATGGTGTTCAGGGATGGAGTGACCAGGAGGCCTTTGTCCCTCCCACACCTTGCACGCAGGCTGAGCACCCCAGCTCACACATACTCCTTGGCAGAATTTGATTTAGGGTAGGAGCGGGGTGCCCGGTATACAGCATTATTTTCACTGCCAGGACAGGAGCAAGAGAGCAGGGCACCTCCCAGGAGGGCCAGAGCAGACCCTGCCCAGCCGATAAAGATGGCAGGACCAAACTCGTACCTGTGGAGAGAAAGGGATGGAGTCAAAACTTGGGTCTGATGTCGTCCTCCCCGTCCCAAGTCTACGGATTTGTCTCCCTAGAAGACTTACTTCGCATTCGTGGGTGTATAGGGGTTATAAAACTCTGTGATAATGTCGTGTGCAATCCAGGAGCATGCTACCAAGGCAGCAAGACCTAGAAAGAGAAAGATTCTGGTGTTGGGTGTCCAAACCAAGACCTGGGCAATGATCTGGATGGAAGAGAGCCCTCGGTCCCACCTTGGCCCTGTGGCTCACCTGCCACGATGAAAACGATGCCTCCAGTCATGGCTATACGGGCCTTCTTCACTTTGTCATCTCCCCCACAGTTTGTACACTTCATGCCCATTGTGGCGACCAACAAGGCTATGAAGCCCAACACTATGGACACCACCATTAGGGCTCGAGTGGCCTGCAAGGCCGCTGCAGAGGAAGGAGAAGGTCAATGCGGAAATGGCAGCCTTAGGATGGCGCCAGCCTAGGTGCTGCGCGCCGCGCCGACTAACCCCTGGACCGCCGTGTGCCAGTTGGGCTCCACCGCCGGCCTGGGGCCCCCTCGGTCCAACACAGACCTTGGGCAGACAGTTCCCGCCCCCACCCCGCCACCGCGGCCATCCAGCTCCCCGCCCCGCCCCGCGCTCCAGAACCCGCCCGGGGCGCCGAGGTTTCGATGAAACCGCGCCAGGTAGGGGGAAGGGAGCAAGGGGGCGAAAGGGAAGTGCAGGTGGCGGCCAGGGCCCTCGTTTGAGCCACACCGACGGGCGCGTGTCTTAGCTCTGCCCCCGCTATCGAGGCCACCGGGGTTGTGGCTTCAACTAATCGGCCGATAAGATTAGAAGCCACAAGTACGGTCCCACGTCTAACGAGGGCACGATTCTGCGGCCCTAGGCACCTGCGTCCCGGTCCCCCTTTGTCCCGGAGGAAGAAGCAGAAGACAGAGACCACGGACTGCCCAGGGCCGGGGGTGCGGGTGCCTTTTCCCAGGACTCCCCCCTTCAAGCCGGGCAGAGGGGTGTGGGCCCACGTGCCACTGCCAGATCCCAGGCCCTCTTTCTTTCTCCCGGTCCCACCGACTGGGCTCAAGGTGTCCACTTCCTCCTCCCTGGCAACCCCGGGCTCCAGGCCGTGCGGCCTCAGCCCAGCCCCACACCCAACCCCGCCACCTTGACTCCGGGCACGTCCGCTCCGTCGGTCCCACGGCCTTACCCGGCAGAGCGAGCACCGAGTCGTAGGATTTGCAGCTTGACAAGCCGGTGCTCTGCGTGGAGCACTCCATCCAGAGCCCCTTGTACATGGCCTGGGCTGTGACGATGCTGCCCACGTACGAGCTCATCCTCCACTGCGGGATGGCAGTGCTCACTATCAGGCCCACCCAGCCAAGCAGGGCCATCGAAAAGCCCAGCAGTTGCAGGCCCGCATTGGCCATTTCCGTCTCAGAAAAGATGGGACGCGCCGGGAGGGCGACCCGACAGTAAAACAAAATCTGGGAAGCAACACAAAAAAACAAAAAAACTGGATGGAGATTTAAGCCACCTAGAGATAGGAAAAAGTTTGTTTTTTTTTGAGCCGGTTAACTGCAAATCTTGTTAACCGAGGTAAACACAAATCGTCCCCTCCGGTGAAGCGACTCTCTCCCAGCACAGGGAACCGGCTTCGCCCGAAGGACTGGTTCCAGACAAAAGAGGCCCCCGAAGGCCAGGCGGTTCCCTCCGGCGTGCTCAGAGCCTACCCAGAGAAGCGGAGGGGCCGTTCGGGCGTGGCCCCCAGGAGGAGTGCGGCCCCGGGCCCCGGGCTGCGGTGCACGGCGGAGAGCTGGGCCGGGAGGCGGCAGGTGCGGGCGAGCAGGTGCGGCGCACCTGAGTATATGTAGGGCGTCGGGGACGCGCCCCCGCAGGCAACGGGAGCGCGGGAGCCGGGGCGGGACCAGAGGGGCAATCGAGGGTGACCTGACGTCACCGAAGGGACACTCACCTGAACCGGAAGTCTGGGCCCCCACCCCCTCCTTGTCCAGGTGAAGAGGAAGAAACCTGAGCGCCAGTGTCACGCCCCTTCATTGGCCTGGCCCTAACTGCTGATGGGAAGTAGGCGAAGGCTTCGCACAAGTCCCTGGGGTCGCAGTCCCCTGCAGACTCCGGGTGGCCCCTTCTCTCTTCTCCATACAGGTGCGCCCCGGTGGCTGCGGAGCCCGTCCCCATAGACGCCCCTGGAAAGGCCCCTTGCCACCCTTTCCCTGCGGGTTTCGGCGCGCACTGTTTTTCTAGCCCGACTTTCACCTCCACTCCCAGCTCCTTTTTCTTCAGTCTCCTGCCATGGCCGGCCCCGTCTTCAGGGGTCCGAACCCAGGACGGTAAAAATCACCCGGGCTGCAACCTTCAAGGAATTTCTGCTGCAGAGATGTGCTCTAGCGACCCTCTGGGTCACTGCCCAAGCCCTCCACCTAGTTACGGCTCTCTAACCGCCCACCTGCCATACCAGCCGGAGGTAACAGGATGTAATACCTGAGCCTGTCAGTGTCTCCTCCAACATCAAGGCTCCTTCTGCCTGAAGGGAGAAACTCCGAGAGCCTTTGCAAGGGCGCGGAGTCGGGCAAGGCCTAGGGCAGAGTCTCCGCCACGCCCAACATTCCCCTCCCGGAGTCATTTCAAACCTGCCCTCCACTCTCCTCAACTGCTTCCCCAACCACCCATTTCCCTCCTCATTCTGAGCTTCCAGGGACCTATCTGTGTGCCCCTCCACGCCCCCTCCCACCCACTCTAGCATCTGACTCCCCGAGGTGGTCTTCGGCTCGCCCCTTAAGAGCCCTATCTCAACCTTACATTCCTTCCTGCTTTCCCAAACTTTGACCCCATCCCTCCTCCCAAGGCGACTTCCAAGTTTCTCATTCCTCCCCTTTGTATTGTTACCTCCTCCCTGACTCTCAGTCCACGGGTCCACCCTCCAGATCCCGTAGTCCAGTGACACGATGTGCCTGTCACCCCTCCCCGACCCTCTTTACCTCTTTCTCCCAGGCTGCCTCTCCTGAGACCCCCTTCACCCTCTCCGACCGTCACCCATCTTTCTTATTCTTGCTATTATTTAGTTATCTGGGGCGAGGGTAGGGTGGGGGTGGGGGTTCGAGACAGAGTCTCACTGTGTAGCCCTCCCTGGCTGTCCTGGAACTCACTCTGTAGACCAGGCTGGCCTTGAACTCACAGAGATCCGCCAGCCTCTGCCTCTCGAGTGCTAAAGGCTTGCCCCCGCACTGGCCGGCTTTCTTGTTATTTTTTAGTCAGTCCCTTAACCTCTCCCACATCCTTCCCCTTACACGTTTCTCTGTCAATCCTCCCTTCATTTATCCAATAAACATATTTAAAGGCCCTTCTTGTTCAGCTAATTAGCCTGCCTTTGTATAGCATGCAGACCTTTGTGAACGCATTTGTGTCTATTTTTGACCTTTTGATTCTGGTTTTGTGGGGGGGTTTAGTTTGGTTTTGGATGGTTGGTTGGTTAATTTTGAGACAGGATCTCACTATGTAGACTAGGCTAGCCTGGACCTTACAAGAAAGCCTCCTGGCTCTGGCTCTGGAATGCTTCGATTAGGGAGGTGAATCCTATGCACAGCCGAGATTTTTTTTTTAAAGGTTGTTTTCCTGATTGGATGTGGTTGGTGCGTGCTCTTGGAAGACTGAGGGAGATGAACAGACAGTTTAAAGCCAGCCTTCCCGGAGAGCAGTGGCTACCAGCTCTGGAAGTCCATGTTTCTCCTTACCCCTTGTTTGTATATCCAGCAATCATTATCACAGCCACTGGCCCAGCTGCTATCTATTAATTACCTGAAGACTACACCTGCCCCCAGACCACTCTCCCTGATTCTGCTCTTTCCTAAATTCACTCCCCAGAGTACTCTTCCTGTATACTTAAACCTTGCCATTGTTTTCAAAAGGCCACTCAGTGGGGGGCTTAAGAGATAGCTGAGGAATTAAGAGAGTACTGTTCTTGCAGAGTACCAGAGTTCAGTCTCCAGCATCCACATGGTGACTCACAATCCTCTGTTACTCCAGCTCTAGGTGATCCATTGCCTCCTCCTCCTCCTTTTTTTTTTTTTTTTTTTTTGTTGTTGTTGTTGTTGTTGTTGTTATTGTTGTTTCTTTTCAACAGAGACAGGGTTTCTCTGCATAGCCCTGGCTGTCCTGGAACTTGCTCTGTAAACCAGGCTGTCCTCAAACTCAGAGATCCACCTGCCTCTGCCTGCTGAGTCCTGGGATTAAAGGCGTGTGCCACCACTCCCAGAATCATCATCATCAACATCATCATCATCATTACTATTATTTTACTTTTTCAGCTTTTTGAGACAAGGTCGTTGTAGCCCCAGCTGTCCTGACCAAGTAGACCTGGCTGGCTTTGAACTCATAAGAATCCTCCTGCCTCTGTCAACTGAGTACTGGGATTAAAGGAGCTGGAGTTTACAGGTAGTGGTGGCACACGCCTTTAGTCCTAGCACTCTGGGAGGCAGAGGCAGGTGGATCTCTGAGTTATAAATTCTAGGCCAGCCTGGTCTACAGAGTGAGTTTCAGGTCAGTCAGGGCTACACAGAGAAACCCTGTCTCCAAAAAAAAAAAAAAAAGAAGGAGGAGCAGTGTGTCACCATGCCAAGTTCCAATGCCTCTTCTGACCTCCTCCGGCTCCCACATACACTCAGATGCATACACATAAAAATAACAAAATACATATTAGAAATAAAAATCAGTCAGTGGCAGGTTTTCTTTCTCACCGTTGTCGTGGGTTGAACCCAAGAGCCTCACGCAAGTGTTCTTGCCACTGAGCTACACCCAAGTGGCACTCCCGACTGCCGGCACATCTACCTTCTCCCTCAGCTGTATTGACCTTCTCTCTGTCCCCAAGACATATTGTGCATGTCCCTCCCCACTGCAGCAGCCTTCTGGTCTCTATGCTTGAGTGCCCTCGTCCACTTACCCCGCCCACCTTCCTCTGCCCAGCTAACATTCATCCTTCAGCATTTGGTTCAGCTCTCTTCTAGGAAGCCTGGCCTGACTACCCCACCCACGCTGAGTCAGGTCATCTGCCCAGGGCTCTCCTGGTTACCTGTACTTTCCTTTCAAGACTCTTATCATAGTCTGAAACTACTTTTGTGTGTTTATGGATTGAGTATCAAGTTCCCTGCTGCGCTGTAAAGTATAGACGTGTCTAGATTTGTCTTACCAATGAGTGAATTCTGAAAACAATTGTCATCCACTGCCCCTTCTGTGGATTCTGAGTGCCCATAAATGTACTGGGCACTGTAATTAACCCTGGGGATATACTGGTAGACAAGACAGATAAGGACACTGTGCTCATCTGGTTTTTTTTCTACCAGAAATAAAGGAGGAAGCAGGGCAATAAAGCCATAAACTGCTGCTTGTTTTGAAGGCAATGAAACAAGGTAATGTATAAGGTTGGGTCCAATCTCCAGTGAGATCGGGGAGACTTTCTGAGCAACTGACTGTTAATGAGTCAGTCATGAGGGAATCATATAAGTAAGGAGAGCAAGAGCAAAGGCCCAGTGTTGATCACCTCTTTGGAATTCAGTCATCGATTTGAAGCAGGATTGTGTTTGTTTTGTTTTCTTTTGTTTACTTTCTTTTGAGACATAGTCATGTTTCGTGGGTCAGGGCAGGCTAAACTTCATGACTCTCCTGCTTCCAAGTGCTAGAGTTACAGGTATGAACCACCATGCCTGGTTTTTTTTGGTGTTTTTGAGACAGGATCTTACCATGGCTGGCTGGCCAGGAACTCGTTATGTGGAGTAAGATGGCCCCAAATTTACCACAACACTCTCGCCATTTGCCTTTCTGGTGCTGGGATTACAGGCTCAAGCCATCAGCAAAAAGGGATTTCCTTGTTACCAATGTTGATACTAGGAGCTAGGAAGTCTTTGCTGTTGTGGGTGGTATCGTATATTTAACTGCATCCTGAGATCTAATGATGTTAGTGGGATTAGATGTCACCAGACCCCTCTGCCACACCTCAGGATGTGGTGGCTCACACCTTTATTGTTTCATCTTGGGAGGCAGAGGTGCCAACTGTGGCACACTCCAGCTATCCATCCGAGTTCTTGTGTTCTTTTAGTCAGTGGTTTCCTTCAGGTATACCAGAGGGAGGGGGGTGAAAAGCACAGTGATACTCACTGGTGACAGAGTTTGTTAGCTGGATAGAGGAAGGTGAGTGGGACAAATGGATTGGAATACCCAAGAGAACAGAGAGGCGCTTTGGTAGTACAGAGCGTGCATAGCATGTTTTAGAGACAGAAAGTCAAAGAACAAAACAAACTAACTAAAAACTTTAGAAAAACTAATAGAAGGGCTGGGGATGTAGCCAAGGAGGATCTCTGTGAATTCAGGGCCAGCCTGGGCTACATTGCAAATTCCAGACCAGCCAGGACTATATAATCTCAATAAATAAATAAATAAATATTTAAATAAATAAATAAAGTCACCAGGTGGTGGCGGTGCACGCCTTTAATCCCAGCACTTGGGAGGCAGAGGCAGGCAGATGTCTGTGAGTCTGAGGCCAGCCTGTTATACAGAGCAAGTTCCAGGACAGCCAGGGCTGCACAGAGAAACCCTATCTCTGAAAAAAAAAAAACAAAAAAAAAAACAAAAAACTACTGCTCTAGTGTTACCAGTGAACATCACTGTGGATTTTTTTCCCTCTCTCTCTAGTAAACAGTTAAATGCAAGAACCCAGAATTCAAATGGATGGGTGGCGGGAATGAACCACAGTTGGAGGTTCTGTCAAAGGCAGGAGGGACTGGAGAATGGCTTTGTGCTCTCCCAGGGGATCCAGGTTTGAATCCAGCATTCACGTGGTGGCTCACGACTGTCAATAATTCCAGTTCCAGGGGATCTGAAGCCTTCTTTTGGCTCCTGAGGCCACTGAATGCACGTGCCGCACA